AGATTCAAATTCCTTTCATTTTATTTATTTTGCCTCTAAGTACTGCTTTTGCAGTAACAAAGAAAGCATTGTAGTGGTAATTTTCCTGAGATTAAAAAAAATCCCTTGGCTTTATTTATTTGGGCTGTAAGTACTGCTTTTGCAGTAAGGAAGAATGTATTATGCCATATTTTGAAAAGTTTCGTGAGAAATAATAAAAAAGGCTAAGAAGGAGACTAGAATAAAATCTACGAGCAGTTGTTGCCAAGTGCCTTCATGTTTTACCTCATGTTTTGCAAATTTTCAAGCAATAAAATTTTAAAAAACTCAATTTTATCATTGACTCATATCAGCAGAATTTACATCATTCGGGGGCCACTGGGACACATGAGATCCCAGATAATGGGTATCAATAATTCATAACTCATAACAAAAATTCTGAATTGGTCCTTTAATCAGCATGCCTTCATTAGTGAAAATACATAATATCAATAAAAAATTTGAAGGAGAAAATAATTGGGTCTTAAAAGGGGTAAGTGGATGATCTATACATGAATCATGAGGTAACCACATTATCATTGTATACCAACCACAACAATGGCTGAAATAAATCTAGAAGTCCCAGTCTCTTTTCAAGCCAAAGGTTAGAGGTCATTCTTTTTTGATAGATGGCAAAATTTAGATGTAGCTAGGAAGTTGAGACCCCGGCTAAATCATATGAAGAATAATAGTGGCAGAGAATAAGGCCCAAGATTCCTGATCAGTCTCGTTTTTAAACTGATTGAGGTTTCAGAAGTGATACTTCCTTTTGGGGAGATGAATTTCAGATTGAGACAATAATATATAATACAGTGAAACCGGTGAGAGCCGGAACTCAACATGATTGCCTTGTTTTTCCAGGTCTTGAAAGTTTTCCACCTTTGACAGGGTGTAGTCTTAAACCACTTTTCTCTTGCTCTCTATTAGTGGAAAATATTTGAGTTTTCCTTCTCTGACAGGTTTCCACCTTACACAGGTTCCGGCTTCTGCAGGTTTTACTGTATACACTTAAAGAGTTATGGGATTTATAACATTTTTAAGGGACACTGAGTATTAAATTCCTGGAGTCCTAATCAGATATGGTTTACTCTGTGTTAGCCATTTCTCCATCAAGTATAGGAATGGAGGAAAGGCAGAAAAAGGAGGTGAAGGCTGAACCACGTTGGCCTTGCACTTGATTGCCACAGAGGGTTGCATTTGCTATGGTAGAAGACATCATTTTCCTTTGCTTGAGACTTTAAAGGACAGAATTATTGCCATGTTGTTTTCTATCATAGGGCTGATGTAAAATCAAGATTCTTTCTTCTCACTTCCGAGAAAGTCACATCTGCTATTTGCATATTCTACTCCTAGCTTTTTAAAGTTTGGATGATGGGCATTTTGGAAAGAAGGCTAACAGACAAAACATGAATTGTACATTTCATCTGGAGAGCATTGTCATGTAGGATAATGTTATAGAATGTGAAGTAATTTATGGCTAAATCTCTCATAGTGGAAGGGAAAGAGCTCAGAATAAATATTTTGGTTTTGAGTGGTGCCCTGATTGCCTCTGAATCTAAGTACAGTGGAAGAGAGTGCATCAACTGAAGGAATTGCTTAGCGTGTAGGCTGATAAAACCTCCCAGGTCATAACATCTGAATTCATTTTAAGCCAGTGGAGCACTATATAATATACATTGCATAATCTAATGTACTCAAATACATAACATCAGAGACTGGAATACATTTTAAGGTATTGTTTAAAGTACTTTCTTCATATTCTTTTGTGGACGTGTGAATTGATTATGAAAAAAATATTTAATTCTGATCAAACATCAAACTTTCCTCATTCAGAAACTTGAAAAGGTTTGGATCTAAGATACAGCTATTAGTCTTTTACTATTAAGAGCAAAGGAGAGTGAAGAAAACCAAAGATTCAAGGGAGTAATTAGTCCAAAGGAGTAATGGACCACTGAACCACAGCCTACAGAACCCCAAGACCAGAAGAACTAGATGGTGTCCCCGTCTACCACTACTGACCACTCTGACTGGGATCACAACACAGGGTCCTGAACAGAACGGGAAAAAAATTGTAGAATAAAAAATAATATTCACAAAGAAGACCAGACTTACTGGTCTGACAGAGACTGGAGGAACCTCCGAGACTATGGCCCAAAAATATCCTTCTGAACTGTAACTGAAGTCAATCCAGGAGACAGGCCCATAAAATAAACAATAACACCCGAGAGGAATGTACTCCTTAGAACAATCAACTATACGAGATCAAAAGGGCAACATTTGCCTCAAAGCAAAGACGAGAAGGCAGGAAGGGGTCGAAAATCAGGATGAAAGGAAACAGGGAATCTAGAATGGAAATAGGGAGAGTGCTGACAGATTGTGGGGAATGAAACCAATGTCAGGGAACACTTTATGTACAGACTGTCGAATGGGAAAATAAATTTGCTCTGTAAACTTTTACCTAATGCACAATAAAAAACTGAAAGAAAATGTTTGAAAGCATCCCTCTGAATATTTCAATTAGCCTTCTAAGCTATTTTCAGCTGTCTTAAATTCCTTGTAGAATAAGGTGGAGAAATGTAAATGTAGCATAAATTAAGACAAAACACCTTGGGAGCTCCTCCCCTACTAGATACAGCAGTATCTTTGGTTCTTTCTCTCAAAGTCTCAACTAATATTTAGTTTCCATGTGTGCCAGGTGCTTTCTAGTTAATAATTCCCAACAGAATCTTTGTTTGCTGGGTATGATCTCCTAAGAAAAAATGAAAACAGTACGTATATCTTAGGATTCTGGTGCAATCAGACTAGACTGTTTCATTGTTGAATTCTGTGGGGCTTTCTAGGATCGAGTGTGCTTAATGAAATTCGCCCTTCCTTGTGTCTGGGTAGCATCATTGTTGAGCCTGGCATTACCATCTAGAAACCAGAATCAACTGCAGAGCTCAGAGCCCAACAATTCAATTTTAATGTTTTGTGAATAATGTCCATTAATTTTTATTACTCGTTCCTACCTTAGGACATTTACATTTGTAGTTTTCTTTGCCAGGAACACTCCTTTCCTAGATCTCACCTGGCTGGCTCCTTTTGTTGTTCAAGTGTCCATTCAAAGGTCACTCCTTCATCACTCTAACCTAGATTAGCCCTCTCCTCCCTTTACTATGTTTTATTTTCTTCAAAGCCCTTGTACTTTTCTGAAATTATCTAATTCTATTATTATTATAATGATCATTATTGTCATGATTATTACTCCAATAACTAGAGAAAACATTGAGATTTTCCTTTGTGCCTTATGCAAATCATTCTATTTAATATAAAATTTTAATACCAACAGCTAATATTTTTTGGCAGCCCTGGAGGTGCAGTAGTCAAGAGCTCAGGATGCTAACCAAAAGGTTGACAGTTGGAATCCACCACCCACTCCTTGTAAACCCTATGGGGCAGTTCTACTGTGTCCTGTAGGGTTGCTATGAGTCAGAATTGACTGGACAGCAACGGGTACAGGGTAACATTTATCGAGTACTTACTACTATCCCAACACTGGGCTAAGCATTTTACCACACTGGTTTAGGTCAATGTCATCTCTTGCCTGGACTACTACAATAGCTTTCTAACTGGTCTCCCTTTTCCTGTTTTAGCCTTCTTACAGTCTGTTGCCCATGTAGCAGCCATTGATTTTTCTAAAATATAAATCAGTATCATTAATGCTTTCAGTCATACTCAGAACCTAACAGTGGCTTACAAGGTCCTATGTGATCTTGCCCCCCCACAACCTCACTGCTTCATTTCTAACCACTCTGCATTCTATGTTCCCTTCTGGCCACAGGGTCCAAAACTTGTTTCCCCAAGGAACCATCAACATAGCTTAATTTCTCACTTCATTCAGGTGTCTACTGAAATGTTGTTTCCTCATAGAGACCTTTCCCAACCATGCCATATAAAAGAGCTCTCTAATTACTCTCTATTTCCTTATCATGCTTTATTTTTCTTTGCCTACCTCTACCCAACATTATTATACTCATCTTCCTTCAGCAAATATTTGTAGAATGTTTACCAAGTAGTAGGCCTTGTTCTAGGCACAGGGTATAAGCAGTCAATAAAACGGGCAAATATCCCTGTTGACATAGAGGTAGTCCATGTAGGAGGGAGACATACAATAAACTCAATAAATAAGTAAAATATCTAATATGTTAGATGGTGATAAAGACAGCAAGAAAAAAGGCTAGAGAGTGATGGGGCAGGAGAAGTAGTGTTCGGTTTAAAATAGGACAACCAGCGGAGGCCTCAGAGAGAAAGCAGACAATTGTGCCAAGTCCTGAAGGAGGTGAGGGAGGGAGCTCTGGTCAGAGCATTCTGGACAGAGGAAGAATCAGATGCTAACACTCTAGAGGTGGGGCATTTCTGGCATGTTCAAGAACCAGCATGGAAGCCTGTCTGGAACAGAGTGAGCAAGGGCAGTGGGGCAGAGGCGGGAGATAATGGGCACTCTGGCTTTCAGTTTGGGTGATTTTGAGCAGAGGAGCAACCTGAGCTGACTTACATTTTAGAAAGATCCCTCTGGCCATTGTGTGGAAATAGACTTTAGGGGAGCAAGGGTTGAATTAAGGAGGCCAGCTAACCCAGGAAAGATTGGATGGGCCAGAACCAGAGTGGGCCAAGGTGGCGAGAAGTGATCATGGTATGAACCTCCTCTAATCTAAAGAAAACTGTGCCTTGATGTCTCCTTTCCCCCAACCCCCACATATCTAGAAAACACGTGAAGCAGACACTTCTCAACTGGCACATAGGTTTTAACACCTGAACTGGCTGTTCTTTCTCTTTCAGAAAAGGGAATCTCACTGAAAGTATACCTATAATTGTTTCGGAAAGTTTTCACAGAGTATGCTGAGTTGTTTTGCAAAATGCCTCGCATACGGCTGTATTTCTTGCACAGTTATCTTGACCATGTTCACTTTTCCACGAATAATGATGGTATTCTTCCCTTGTAGGATTACGCCCATCTGTTGACCTGTGTTACGGAAAGAGAAAAGTTTATTGTGCCAATTAAAGCAAGAGGTGCACGAGCCATCCTGGATTTCCCTGACAAGCTGAATTTTTCCACTTGTCCTGTCAAGTACAACACTCAAAAGATTCTGCTGGTGCGAAACATTGGCAACAAAGATGCTGTGTTTCACCTCAAAACTCATAGGTATGCGTTCCTCCAGCTCTTCTTTTTGATTGATTATAACTAAATGAAATCAACACAAGTAATTTACTAGAATAGCAGTCAAGGTGAAACTGCTATCTATAATATTCAGTTGCAAGGCTGAGACTTCACTGACATAGGGCAGACTGAGCATCCTTCATCCTAAGAGGAAACCAAAATCCAGTGCTTCATATTTTTTACCCATTTCTAGTTAAATTATCCTACCTGGTTGGGTAAGGATGGTTTTTTTGAAATGCTGGATAGAAGTCCTTCTATTTAGCTTAGAGAATGGCCCCTGGGAGTCTATTAATAAACATATTTTTTGACCAAGAATTTTTATAACTGGCTGTATTAGTTTTCTATTGCTGTTGTTACAAACTGCCACACACTTAAAAACTAAATCCAACCCATTGCAGTTGAGTCGATTCCAACTCATAGTGGCCCTACAGGACAGAGTAGAAACTGCCCCATAGGGTTTCCAAGGCTCTAAATCTTCACAGAAGCAGGCTGCCACATCTTTCTCCCATGGAGTAGCTTATGGGTTCGAACCACTGACCTTTCAGTTAGTAGCTGAGTGCTTAACCATTGTATAACCAGGGTTCCTTGCCACACACTCAGTGGCTTCAAACAAAGCTAGTTTATAATCTTACAGCTCAGTAGGTCAGAAGTCTCACTGGGCTAAAATCAAGGTGTCGACAGGGCTGTATTCCTTTCTAGAGGCTTTGAGGGGAGAATGTTTCCTTGCGTTTTCCAGGTTCTAGAGGCTGCCTGCATTCCTTGGCTCACAGTCCCCTTCTGTCTTCAAAGGCAGCTACAGTGGGTCAAGTCCTTCTTACATCGCATCACTCTGACCTCCTATTCTCTTCCTCTACTACTTTTAAAGACCCTTGTGATTACATTGGGTCACCCAGATAAGCTAAAATAATCTCCTCGTTCTAATGTTAGTTAATTAGCAACCATAATTCCATCTGTAACCTTACTTGTAACAAACACATTCACAGATTCAAGGGTTAGATTGTGGACATATTTGCGACACTGTTATTCTGCCTACCATACTGGCATTAACTCATTTGAAGACGAAATTAAAAAGCAAACACTTGTTATATAGCACTTGTTTTGTACCAGCAGTTGATGTTTGTTAGTTCATTATTCCTCACAATAACCATATGAAGTGGCTACTGTAATTTTTTCCATTTTGCAGATGAGAAAACTGAGAGACAGAGAGGTTGTATAACTTTTGCAAAAGCACATAGTAAGTGATGGTGTTGGATTTTAATCTGAATATTTAAGGAGTAGCTACAGTATAGTAGACAACATGGGGCAATATAAAGATTGGAGGGAACAATCCCTGCTCTCAAGGAATTCTCTTATAAGATGGGAAAGAACTCTGGTATGGAGCATGAGAATAGTGGTTGATCAGCGAGGCCATAACAAGAACGACTAACTTGGGAAGACAAGGAAGCAGGAAGCCAAGTCCTTTTCTAGGACTACTTAAAAAATAATGTGTATATTGATCTTACCAAGGACATTTTAAACTCAATTCAAGCATAGATTTATTGATTAACTACTCTGTGTTAAGTTATGTGCTAGGTACATTTACTGTATATTATCTCATTTATCTTTACAACTCTAACAAATCTCTTAACATTTTATTAAGTTTACAGAATTTAATATTAAAACATAATAGACTAAGCCCTGTGGGCCATCACTGGGGTGGTGATGGACTTCCTTACTCATGCCACCTTCACTACTAGAGATTTGATCATTCTTATAAGAGCAGAATGATTGACCCTACACAAGTGCAATTCACCTGTATGTGGAGCATTAAAACACCCAAATCAAACCCATTGCCGTTGAGTTGATTCAGACTCATAGCGACCCTATAGGGCAGAGTAGAACTGCCCTGTAGGGTTATATGAAACATTAGGGAGTTTAATTTACTTTTCTGGCTTTTGACATTTGAACATCCATTACTTACATGAGATAGCAGCTGTGATTTTTTCCCTTCCTTTGATCTTCCTATGTACTTTTCCTCTGCTTTCCTTTAGCACTTATCATATAGATGTCATTTGTTTGATTGAAAGGAGCATCTTACTCTGTTCTCGGTGCTTTCTACATATTATCATAACAGCTTTGAGGTCTCTACTATTACAGAAGAGAAAATGGAGGCCTCAAAAGGTTAAATAACTTCCCAGAGCCCTGAACTGATACTCAAGGGATTGAACTCCATTCAAAATGGTCTTTTAACCAATAAGCAAACTGCCTTCTGTATGGTTTTATAGTTATTTTAATGCTTTTATTTTATTTTATTATCAGACTTTGGGCCCTTATTGGGCATGAGCTGTGGCTTCTGTACTTTTTACTGACCATGTTCAATGCCTTGTTGGTAGATGACCAGCAAATAGTTGTTGGAATGTATGATAGAGTGATATGATTTGCTCTGGTTTTGGAAGGATGGATATTATGAGCATTTTTCTTTAATTTATGTTGGTGGATTTAACAGAAGCATCTTCATAAACGTATGGTAATGAAAAGCTACACTGTAATAATTTCGCTAATGACTAATTATGAAGAACTCCATGTTATTATATTTTCCAAATAGGAGGATATTGGTTTCTAAATGTTTTATAGAATTGCGAAGTTTTAGAATTTGAGGAGGAGAATTTAAAGAAATAACAACAATAGCAGAAGAAGTGACATTGAGTGCTTACTATTGGCAAGCATGACACAAATATTTTTATATATAACTTCTCATTTAATCCTTACAGCAACTCAATGAGGTAAACTTCCTTTTTATTACTGGATTACAGATTAGGAAACAGATTCAGAGAGTAACTTGCCCAAGATTATACAGCTGAAAAGTTATGGAGATGGCAGTCTCAGCTCCAGAACCTCTTCTTTCATCACCATACTATACACTCCCAACACTACACTGCCTGGGTGGAGAGTGGCGGGGGACATGTGCTACCAATATTCACCATAGGTTTTTCCCTGAGCACAAGTAGAGGACTGCAAGGCCCACCATACTATGCCTCCTTTTTTGTACAGCTGTCCACTAGCTCTTTCTGACTCTTCTCACTGTGGACTTGATAGATCCTTTCTATTGTAGACCCAATGTACTTTTAGGAAATACATCACTGAAGATCTAGGCATGGTTAGCACATTTGAATTCAGAGAGCAGTATCTTTTTTTTTTTTTTTTTTAGTTGTGCTTTAGAGGAAGGTTTACAAAGTAAATTAGTTTCTCATTAAACGGTTAGTGCACATATTTTGTGACATTGGTTTCCAACCCCACGACGTGTCATCACTCTCCTCTTCTCGGCCTTGGGTTCCCCATTACCAGCTTTCCTGTCCCCTCATGCCTTCTCATCCTTGCCCCTGGGATGGTGTGCCCATTTAGTTTTGTTTTGTTTTATGGGCCTGTCTAATCTTTGGCTAAAGGATGAACCTCAGGAGTGACTTCAGTACTGAGTTAAAAGGGTGTCCAGGGGCCATACTCTCAGGGTTTCTCCAGTCTCCACCAGACCAGTAAGTCTGGTCTTTTTTTGTAAGTTAGAATTTTGTTCTACATTTTTCTCCTGCTCTGTCCAGGACCCTCTATTGTGATCCCTGTCAGAGCAGTCAGTGGTTGTAGCTGGGCACCATCTAGTTGTGCTGAACTTAGTCTGGTGGAGGCTGTGGTAGTTGTGGTCCATTAGTCCTTTGGACTAATCTTTCCCTTGTATCTTTGTTTTTCTTCATTCTCCCTTGCTCCAGACGGGGTGGGACCAGTGGAGTATCTTAGATGGCCGCTCATAAGCTTTGAAGACCCCAAACGCTACTCACCAAATTAGGATGTAGAACATTTAGAGAACAATTTCTTTTAAGATTACTTTTGTAACTGTGACCAACATCTTTTGTGTGATAATGAAAATAAAAATGGAGTTTAGCATCTCCTCCTTTTGCCCTCCCATCTCTTGGAATGGTACTAGTTATTGCAGATGGTACTGCTTGAGAACAGAATAAAGGAATAGAGGTAAATCAGAGTCAGGGAAATTATCTTTTGGTTTTCTTCCTGATGAATACTTAAAACAACATCCAGCACAAACGGTAATCTGTAGGATAAAGAAATTCCATTTAAATTTTTTCATGGAGGCATGAACTTTCATTTGTTGAAAGCAATGACATGTTGGCCAATATCCACTAGAATGCTAGTCAGCATTCCCTGGACTGAGGGAAGGTGGCCTTGGGGAAGTAGGAGTGTGTGGTGTGAGAGCAGCCCCAGGTGATTAGCAAACCATTTCCTTCCCATTCTAATTACTCCCTTGCCCATTTGATCATTCTTCACCCAAGGGAGGGGAAGATGACAAAAAGACAGAAGAAAAGGTGTAGAGAGAGATGATAGATATTTAATCATGTTACTTTGGGACAACTTTCACAAAATGGGGAAAATATATGTATAAGAATGACTTGCTGCATTGCGTGAAACTAATTGCCCTCAGACCCATTCTTTGCCCTTCCCCTGATCTGCTTAGTATCACTATGGGACTGAATCTGCCTTCCTAGGCTCCTGTGGCAGCTGTCTTCTGACTGGGATTGACCAGTTAGGGGCACTAGAAGGATATTAGAGAGTAGGAAGAAGGAATATGCCAGGGTATTTCTCATCCTTCCTCTCTGTTTTCAGTGGAGTCCCTGGCAGCAGCTGCATCTCCTCCATGGTTCTAGCTCTGCTAGACAGAACAGACCTACCATGGTTCCAACTCTGTCAGGTGACCCTGACCCCTAAGATCTGATAACACTTCCTCCTCTTCTTGCATCTTCAGCCCAGGAGTGGAAATGGCTTATTGCTTTTATTTATCCCTAGGCTCTCTCACCATCTTAAGCTGGCCTTCTCATCTCTCCAGTCTTCTGTGTAACCAGTTCTCTTGATTAAATTCTCTGTGTTGTAAATATTTTTGTCTTCCTCTTTAGAGGCTGCTTGATACAGTACATCTATGTTCTTTCCATAAAATACAAGTTTTCCTT